CTAGCTTTGAACCATTGAGGATTATCAACACATAAGGAGCTTTTGGCAGGTAAACTATTATGATTAAAATATAGTGAAAAGTTTTGGGCCCAAAATTAATGTGGATTTTTACATTAATAAAATCTGAAAAAATCTGTTAATTACAGTTTAAGATGGTCGAAAAGTAGAAAATCATGAATCAGCTCAAACTTTCTACACAGCATAAGTACATATGAATAAGAAAATGTAATAAATCCTCTCTCTCTACTATACACTCTCCTTTTATCTCCTCTCCTTTCTCTCCGGGCCTTCCTCCCATCTCCTCTCCTCTCAGATTCCAGCTGAACAAGGTCAGACTTATGCATCAGAAGTTAATGCCATATTTGGAGAGACTAGTGCCCTCACTGCTAGGAATGTTGAGGAAATGTTCATTGAAATAAGTGAGTAGCTACTAATGATGTACTGTAGTATGTACTATTGTAACATAATCTCTCTCTCTCTCTTATCTCATAGCTTGTAAGTTACCACCAGATTGTTTAACTAGTTTACCAGCTGGTGCCTCTCTCTTAAGACAGACTGATACACCATGTGCTAAGGGAGGATGCTGTGGAGGAGGGGGAGGGGACAAAGGACCATCATAATAGTTCAGTTATAATAAGATAATAAATTAATAATTATTTATTATTATTATTGTAATAACAACTGACACATGCACTGCTTGCCCAATAAGCTGGTTGTACTATTCTCTTCTATTTTATTTTAATTGTCTTTGATTGCAATAATAATTTATTATTAAAATGGGTGAACGCAATTATTAGTATCATTATTATCATTATTTTGTAATTACTTGTTTTTGTACGTGTTTATCATAAATCACTTTGCCAATTATTTTGTGTTTAAATTAAATATTATTAAATAATTGATGAGTCAGCATCGCCAATAAAAAGCAAAATACAAATTTTTACTAATTAATTATTAGTAAAATAATAATCTGTCTTTTATAATATCATAGTCATGATATTCTGTGCATCTGTCTTTGTTTTCTACATCTAAAAGTAGCTTCATATTTTTATTAATTGTTAACGATTGAAGAATTAGTAATATTCCATCAGACGATATTAAAGTGTCTGTTATTTGTAATCCAGCTAATGTTGAATTGTTGATAATTAGTTCAGAAAAGGACTGAGCAGTAACTGAAGTAATACAAGCATTACTAAGGAAGAATAATCCTTTAAGTGTGTTATTGTGTGTTTGTAGTACGTTTGTAATATCAGCAACTGCTTTGTCATCAATGGAACAGTTAGTAAGAAATAAAATTAATAATGATTTATTATTAGCCAGTAAGTTACATAAGGATGAGATGCAGTCCTGTGTTAGTTGAGTGCCTCGTATTCTCAAGTGCTTCACCTTTTCATTTCGTAATAAAACTGGTAACAGATCACACACAACGTCAGAAGATGATTTGTTGATGATAATGTCCGTATGTTTGTATGTTAATAGAGAAACTACTTCTTGACATTGTATTAAAGATGGAGAAGTCAGTTCAACACCATCATCATACCACCTAATTGCTTTTGGTTTTCCTGAATACATAAACAATTATAATTAATTACTGTATTATCAAGTCTAATTCTTAAATATCATAACTTTAATGGATAAGGCAAACAACACTTCTGTATAGCTGGTTATTTTTATAATGTACAAAAGTTTGCATTTTGCAAAAAATTGATACGAATACAAAAATTCCTATCCTGGAACACCTTAATTTTGATTGATTTTCAAAATTAAACAGCATTGAAACTACAGGTCTGGGCAATATTTAATACCCTCAAAATACTCGATAGATTATTAGTACATATAAATATATATTACCATGTTGTTTTTTTCTAAGTTGATCTAGCAGAACTGAATCTTGTTTAATTAATGATAAAAAGAGACTTGTTCTCTCAACGTTGCTCCTCGTCTTAATTTCCTTGATTTTAGGTACATCAACATTTTCTGTCATTGCATAATGAAATAGTTGAAGTGATTCCAATGTTGACAGTTCACTCTCTTCATCTTTCTTAATATCACTAATATGAACATCTCCCTCTTGATCAGTATCTAATGATTTTGCTAGCCACCATCCACTAGTACGCTCTTCTTTGATCTCAAGTTTCTCTCCTTTCTTGATTGAAAGCTGAGTACTATTCCTTGCCTCCCAGTCAACAATAGCTACATAAACTGGTCCTTTTGGTGGATCCATATATTGTGTAGACTGATCCTTTCCTAAAATACCAGTACTAGTCATTATGTTAATATAATGTAATACATACTAAGAGTAATTGAAGTTTCTTTCAGTTGTTGTATATTCATTAATGATATCTTTTCCTGTAACTGTTCTATCTCCTTTTCTCTTTCATTTAATGCTGTCTCTACTCCAATTAACGTTTCCTCTATTCCTAGTCATTAATACAAATCAAAAAATGGTTGCTATTTTTAAAATAATAATTATCAATAATTTGCATATTATTTAAGTGCTGTAAGAAGGACCAGTATTAGTATTGAGTATATACAATCATCCTCCTACTATAACAAATTAATGTACAAGCAATAAGGATACTCTAAACACAGCTGTACTGTATTCTCATTATACAGTATTAAGTATGTCTGTATATATACCTGTTTTGCTTTGAAGAGATGATCGTAAATGATCTATTTCCATTTGCATTGCTTTTGTCATCTTCTTTTTACTCTCTTTCTTCTCAGACTCTAAATAATAAAAATGATCCAATTAAATTATTAGGAACAACAATTCAGCTATATTATGTATTCATTCAAAATTCACACATGACAATATTCATAGATATCATGTCTCAAAACATGAATCTCATTATACCTGATGATTCTATTGATGACTTATTGCTTTCATCAACTTCTCTACCTTCATATGAGATACCTTTAAATTATCAATAATTATAATTAATAATAATTAGTATATACCTAATGTGTCTATTGTACCCTTCAATTTAGCATTCTCCTCAAGTAAATCAT